TGGTCTCACTTATTAGCTATTCTACATAATGTAGAGATTAGTTTTGCAACAGAGCAATATCAATTTTATGTGCTGCATGCTGGGAAATCCTCCAAATCATTTTATTTAGATTTATGACAGCATTTTCAATTGACCAATCAAATGTGACGGCCTTCATTCAATTCTAGGTGCTCGTTGTAGAGGTCTGGTAGATCTCAGAAAGTGAGACTTGTGTTATAAAATGATTAACAGACTCACACCAAAAATGTAATTTAACTTTTTTTCATCAATGAAGTGAGTGCACTATGCAGAACATTTGATTGTTTTCTGTTTCAGAAAATTAATTCAAATGATCTTTTAATTGTATGTTTTTCAAAGTATTATTCAGTAAAGGTGGTGTGGAATTAATAATCTCAATACATAGAATAAAAAACTGTCAAAAAAAATTAAAATTGCATTATTGCATTTTATTTTGGGCTTAGATTTTCATATTGTGGATAATATTTCACTGTTCAGTGCCTAATAAAATTCACTTTCATCTTAATGCTTTCATCATCAATATTTGGTTTCAGTCACATTGTCTCCATGGTGATGTGGTGATTAAACAGACTCTAGAGGGCAGCAGTTCAAAGTCATTATGGAAACGAGAAGAAGTCAATGCTTTGTGTTCAAGTGTTTCAAGAGAGATGTTATGGATGGTTTGTCAATATTTCTAATCAAAAAAATTTAATCATGGGTGATTACAAAACACAAAACTGTACTCTTAAATATAAAACACTATCAACAAAATAATCAATTAACACATTCTACAAGTAATACTGCAACTGACCAGAGGCAATGTTACCATGGCAACTTGTAATTGATCCTATTACGAGTGATGGATGTAGTAACAAATGTTGGTATGCATATAGGCATAGTAAATTCCCCACTAAGATTATTAAAAACAAATTTAAATAAAAACGAGCATTTACAATCAACACAACAAACCCATTCTCTTCATTGTTATAAATATTTATTTTAACAGCAGTTGAAATCAACCTAGCCAATATACAGTGTAAGAGCCTGCCATGTTATTTGAAAACGTTTCAAAGTTATTTCATTAGCCAATGGAAACATCTCAGTTCAGTTTGAATATGCAATTATTTTATGATAAATTTGAAGAGAATGGGTTTTAGGAATAGCACAAAAGTTGAAAATTTCAATAAATTTTTTTACCTATATTGAATACAAACTAAGTTAATTGTATAAATTATTTTATAACTTTTTATCCATCGTTTATAACTACTGTAAAATATTTTATTTTCATTTAGAAATAATGTTTTCGCTATTTTCGCTGAAGGAATAATTCAGTGAAAATAAAATCCAGCAAATAAACCTTTTGTCCTGTATTTTACATTCACTTGTCAAAAATCAGTGAAAATAAATTCCACACAAAACCTCCAAAAGGTTTTTTCAGCAAAAATGAAGTCCAGCTAAAATAAATTATTTTACAGTATTCAGCATATAATGAATGCAATATCTGAGTTGACGTGCAGCTTTTAAATACCATGATAAATTTCTCAAAAACTGTACAGTTTTAACATAAAAAAAAAGCTGTTTTATCGTTCCTATAATTGTTGAGTTTTTATTTCAATGCACCTCACCTCATCACTAGAGGGCGTAGTTTATTGAAATGATATATTTCCGTGCACTGAGTTACAAATAAATACAGAATGACAGTTTTGATTTCAACAAAACTGTCGCCAGCATTCTTAAAAGACAATGGTCGTTGCGTCACACATACATGTGATATGGGTCTTATATAAACAAAGATAGTGACTTTGACTTATGCAGACCAACGAGTCTAAACGGAGACGTCACCAAGTTTTAAGTAGATAATTTCTTTGGTGATTTGAAGGTATCCAAGTCACCAGCAGTAATTACTACATTTCACATCCAGGTCAAAACTCGTACTCGTGATTTAATTAGAAAAGCGCATTGGATTGTGGGAAAATCAATGTTTATCAACGTAAATGTCGCCCATGTGCAGTGCAACAACTGCCGCCCTTTGACATTAGTTTATATTCTGTCATACTAGTTAGTATTTTTATCGTGCAAATTCTGTGGAAACTGAACTTTGCACCAAGAATGATACAAATAGAAACTAACATTGTTTGCAACTGTTCTTTTGTAGGTAAGGGGTCATCTGTATTAGAAACTCTTGCAGAGATGGGAAAATTGAGGTAGAAAAAATATATTTCATTTTTTTTTTGCTGTTCAATATCAAATGTGATTTTTTGTTATTCATAGTTTATAGTCACTTTCTGTCATAGTCCAAGGATGCAGATTTCTTTCTCCTTCACCAGTTTCTAATGGTCTTCCCTTTATTGAACTGAGAATTCATCACTTCATGAAGTAATCTATTTACAAATGTGAATACAAACAATTTTGTATTTGCAGAGTTGCATTCAGTTGCCATGGTTACCAATACAGATGTGTCTCTCCTTGCCCTCATCTACCAGAGGCAACCAATGGCCATTGTGTCATACATGTTTTGTTCTCATTGAAAAAATTGAAGCAATGTTTGATTGTTTTGCTTTGTATATAACATAGCTAGGGATACCCCTGTCTAAAACATCATAGCTAGGGATACCCCTGTCTAAAACAACATAGCTAGGGATGCCACTGTCTAAAACAACATAGCTAGGGATACCCCTGTCTAAAACATCATAGTTAGGGATACCCCTATCTAAAACAATATAGCTAGGGATGCCACTGTCTAAAACAACATAGCTAGGGATACTCCTGTCTAAAACATCATAGCTAGGGATACCCCTGTCTAAAACAACATAGCTAGGGATGCCACTGTCTAAAACAACATAGCTAGGGATGCCCCTGTCTAAAACATCATAGCTAGAGGATACCCCTGTCTAAAACAACATAGCTAGGGATGCCACTGTCTAAAACAACATAGCTACGGATACCCCTGTCTAAAAAACATAGCTAGGGATACCCCTGTCTAAAACAACATAGCTAGGGATGCCACTGTCTAAAACAACATAGCTATAGATGCCCCTGTCTAAAACATCATAGCTAGGGATACCCCTGTCTAAAACAACATAGCTAGGGATGCCACTGTCTAAAACAACATAGCTAGGGATACCCCTGTCTAAAACAACATAGCTAGGGATGCCACTGTCTAAAACAACATAGCTACGGATACCCCTGTCTAAAACAACATAGCTAGGATACCCCTGTCTAAAACAACATAGGTAGGAATACCCCTGTCTAAAACAACATAGCTAGAGATACCCCTGTCTAAAACAACATAGCTAGAGATACCCCTGTCTAAAACATCATAGCTAGGGATATCCCTGTCTAAAACAACATAGCTAGGGATACCCCTGTCTAAGTACATGTGACACATTAGGAATACATATTTGGCACATGAAAAACAAAGGTGGATTAATTGGACAAAAAAATATCACTTCAACCTTTTTGAATCAACTTGTATTTTCTATTACAACCTAAACTTATGAAATATTGTTTTAAAAATGGTGATCAAGATACTAAAGAATTATACCCACTCAGTGCAAAATTAATTAATTAACAATAAAAATAAAAAACAAACAAAAAACACAAAAATGTGATAATCGATGAGAAATATTATGCTTTCAAAGAGTTACATGTAAATGTTCTTACATGTCCTCACACTGGGTGTATATGCTGTATCTTTGATGAAATTTATCAGCCAATTAAAGCCCACCTAGCTGAAATCATGATACTAATCTGTGCAATCCACTGACCTCTAAATTTATATTTTTAAAATTAGACATCGCTATGTTCATATTCACAGTCAATTAATTAGAGTATTTAAAGGGAAACCTGGTTATGATACCAAAGTCCTGATCATGATTTTTTGGTGATCTGAGTAATTATGATAAACGAGACATATCTGTGAAAGCCCTTAATTAATTCAAGATAGTATATGTGCACATTAATCAAAAATTGCTTTTATTGGGCATTTTAATGAATCATTAAAATATGACTTATTTTGACCAATGACACACCTCTGTCATTTTAATACATAAGAGCATCGAGTGTAACCTCTCCCAAAGGAATATAAAGAGATTTCAAACAAAGTACAGATATATTGCATTCAATGTTTCCCATCCTCTGGAAGTATGGGGGTATTGTACTTTCTCCCTCATCTGGAAATATAGATATATTTAATTTATTCCTCCCATGGATATTGAGTTCAATGTTGCTCTTCCCCTAGAAACATAGGATTATTGTAATTATTGCAAACCCATACCCATAGAGATACACTAAAAATCTGTAAAACATGCATTTTTATCTAGCATAATATTTTAGCTAATTTTACTAATCTGTGATTTTTCTGATTCAAAATGTAATCAATTTAAAATAAAGTGTAATCACACAATAAGATTGTTGGCACTTTAGTTAAATTAAGATTCTCTTAATAAATGCATTGAATCAAATTCGCTAACATTTCAATGTGTTTTACCAAAGTAGGCCAAAATAAATTGTAAAACCAACCCAAAAGATGTTTGGATTATAAATGTATTCAAAATGTCTGTTTCTTTTCTTCCCATTGACCTGTTAACATCTACACAAATTAAAATATAAACATCTGGCTTGTATATCACATTTGTGGCTGGCAGTATATAATAATAAAAAAAACATCTATAAGATGCAGCAATCCCACAATGCATTGCTCCATTCTGAACTAGTACAAACATGTCAAGTTTACAATAAACAGTTCCACATTTCTCCAAGTGCAGAAATATGCCAATCATGAGGACAGTTAAAATAGATGAATAAACCTACAAATTTCAGGGATAAGTTGCCCCAGTCATCTGTTCCATTATTTGCCACAAGCGACGACGAGTTTTAATATCGTATGAAATACTTGCTGACGACGTGTCCTGGAGTTGAACGAAGTATTTCCCCGTTACACCGGTGAATTTTGGATCGGTGGCAAGGTAGAATTCGTTGTCAGCTTGTTCAATTGGAATGCCAATCGGTCCGTAAGACTTCATCAACATGTTAGTGTTAACAGTTCCCGGATCGCAGCAGTTGACGATTATCCCCAAAGGCCGTAGACGATCACTGAGTTCGTAGCTAAACACTATATCGCATAGTTTAGATAATCCATATGCAGCAAAGCCGCTATAATCCCGTTCGAATTGTAGATTGGAAAAATCTATGTTATAAGCCTGTGTCATTGAACTGACAATTAATATGCGACTGTCGACACGACCTTTTGGAATGAGGTCAAGCAACAGAGAAGTCAGTAAAAATGGGGCTAGCACATTAACAGCGAGCGTCATTTCGTATCCTTCCTGTGACAGAATTCGTTGGTTCTCCCAAACCCCGGCATTGTTGATAAGCACATCAATTCTACTATGTCGCTCGTGTACCTCTCTCGACATCTGTCGTATGTGGTCCAGAGATGAAAAGTCAGCCGTAAAAAGCTCTATATTTGGGTTACCGGTAGCAGTTTTGAGTTCTTCCACCACTTTTTCGCCTTTTGCTCGATTACGCCCGTGCACTAAGACAGTACCACCAGCCTGGGCCAGACGCAGTGCAGTATGCTTGCCTATTCCATCAGTCGACCCAGTAATCAAGTAAACGCGGCCTGACAACGACATTTTCGGAGAGCGAGGCGACGAAACACCGATACCAAATAATAAAGCATAACAGTTCAGGAAGCCATATTTTTGATCTATTTGTTTGCGGTCTTTCTCCACATGCCAGGGAAGGGCGGCTTATTGACCTTTGGCCGACCTATCAGAAAAAGGGTTGGGCAAAGGTCGGCTGAGTGCGTGCCCTCACATGAATTTACTGTATTTCCTTGCATTTTCGTATTTATTTAACACAGACAATTATCATATTTTGCACATAAAAAATATTCACTGTTTTGTTTGCTCGTTAAAAGTTGTACGATAAAAAAAATAATTTTTAAAAGATCATCAGTTAAAAATTAAACCAGTACCTTTTTATTTAATATACTAATATATCACAAAAAAATGTATATTCTAGAACACATTTCAGACTGAAATAGAAACCGGAATATTTATCATGTTTGTAGTGGCAGACAACAAATATTAATTTCAATATTACAGCAGTAATACATTAGTATCTCTAAATCATCCATGTTTTTAAGAAATAAATTATATTATAATTACACTGAATTTTATGAAGGCATGAATATGTTTTATGGAAATTTATAAAATATTTTTAAAATGTTCATTAATACGCATTCATTAGCTATATAAGCCATTTTAATAGTAACACCCATTACCCATGATTCTTTGCAGGTTCCCCTTCATGCATCCACTAAACACACTGTGTCTGGTAAAATTGTCATTTAAAATTTTATATTAAAAACATTCATGCCTTCCTCAATTTAAAGAAAGAAAAATTTAGATTCATCATTGGCGCATTTTGTATTCAAGGTAACTTATTTAGTCTTAGGTTTTAATGCTTCCTTTAATATATTAAATTCCATTGAGCAATTGTTTCTGATTTTACAATGTTATTGTGAAATTTTTTTTTTTTACTATCAGGAGTGTGTATATTCTTTGTGATGCCAAGTAGTTTTTTTTTTTATTTCCAAGTTTCTAATAATCGACCCTAATTTTCATCAAGCTGACTCTAAACAGGACTATTAAATGAAAAGTGTAGACTTACATCCAGTCTTTTGTTTTTTGGTGTTTTTTCAATAAAAAAAAATATTATGGTGCAACCCAGGTTACCGCAAAAGCCAGGTTACCGTGAAACAAATTGTTTCATGGTAACCTTGTATTTTCCATTTATACACTCACATCATATTTTATTGAAAAAACACCACAAAATGTATACAAGTCTAATAGAAAGTGAGTGATGTAAGTGGCTAAAGGTGAAAGATTAAGAAAATGATGCAGACAAGACAAAACTATTCAGTGTTGTGTTTAGCTATCAACTCGGTGACAATCTTTGACCTTTCAGTACCATTAATTTCTGTCACAAGTCTAAGGGAAATTAAAACAGTTTTTGAAATTAGCAGATGTAAAAAGTTAGGATGGGGAGAATATGGGTATTGGGGTACTAATAATGCAATGTGATTGGCTTATAGCATACCTACAAAAACAGCAGATATGCCTTAACTATAATTTCTCATCTCATCCCCCCCCCAATATAAAGTCAATTCACTTAAAAAATTATTAAAAATACATAAAAGTGAGTATTTCCCCCAAGGCAACATATAATGTCTTAAACGCATGTACCAGTATACAGATTACATCTCAACTCAACTCACAAAGGTGTTCCATTCCTTGCAATTCATTATTTAAATTCTGCCCTCCCCCCCCACCAGAATTCATGGTCTGTCCCTAATGAGGTCTAGAACATCAAGTAACAAAACACATTCACACAGCAAACATTTCTCCCCTTAATTATTTTATTCCATATTTTTTTTTTAAATTGTAGAGAAATTGCAGTAAAATTACAGTAAAACAATGAATAAAACAATGTATAATAATTGAACCATGATTTTTATAATATCAGAAATACATTATCTAAGATTAAACCAGCAACTAAATCGGTCTTCAATACAATACATCTCAGTTTGTTAATTTAGCATGAAATGTTGGTGCCAGTCTGCTCTCACTTAACTCAGACCTATCATCAATGATACATTTAGTGGCAGTTGCTCTGAAACGACCTTTGACCAGCAACCCAGGTGACAGATTTGATCTGTTTACATAATTGAAATAAAAATCACTTTAATAGGTGGGGGGTAACATTTCTGAAATTCGTTAACCATGTCTGTACTGGATGGTGTTCATGCTAACATGGTTTGCTGGTTTTAGCAATTAAATGGATGGAGAAATGTCAACTCGATCACTGACAACCATCAAACAAAACTCCTGATAGCAACGTAACATCATATTTTTAGATGAAGCCCCAATACATGTAGTTATAAATCTACTGAAAGTGCACAAACCACATGTGACTCTAAAATTATACAGGTAGTAGGTAGGTTTCAGGCAGCAATAAATAAAACTCAATATAACTGAATATCTGATTGTTTTCTTTGGGTAAGTTTGCTGTTTTTCTTTATCTGTGATGTATAATTTGTTTCCATGAATTTTTTTTTTTTCTGTGATTATTCATGTAAATTTTTTTTTTAGCAATTAATTTTTTGGCGGAAATTTGTTTTACAAAATCTACCCACAAGTTTAGAATGGTCAACTCCATAGTGATTAAAACCACATATCCACCAACCAGAAATAAGATGACAAGTCTAATGAGAGTAATTGTGATAAAGCTAAGAACTGGATTTGTCTTTCAACATAAAATATTAGTTTCATTCGATGAAATATTGCACTTTTGGGGGGGGGGGCATATACATGATATGGAAAATAAATAATATATAATTGATTTAAAGAAGTCAGGTGATACAGTGAACATGCAATGCATCCTGGGATACATATGAAAATAGGACACATGTGTGCTATTGTACACATCGTTCATTATATACAATTAATTATTCATTGCAAAGACAATATTAATGTTAATTAATAACGATAAATCTTGCATAAACTTAATTTATTACACCCAGTAATATTATTTTTGGTTTAAAAAAATGTATTTGTCTATTATCGGTAGTAGGACATGCACCCTCACATAAATACTAAATTTTTCTACAATCAAAATAATTTAAATATTGAGTATGGAGCAAATATACATATACATTTATATTCACTTCTATTGGGGATGTGCTTTTAATACTGCAAATATAATTTTAATAACAATATTTCCACAAGTTCTTTATATATTATATATAGAAAGAGAGAGTCAATAACCAGCTGTTACAATATAGATTGTTGAACTCAGGTCAGGTCAGGTCAGGTCAGGTCAAATTAATACAATGTATATAATATATTCCATAATTAAATTGACTACACCACTTAACCCGCATATACACGATACCAGCAATTTTTTAATTCTAAAACGGTAAAGGTATGGTCTTTAGTAGCTCATTTTGCAGCTACTAAAATCATTCTAAAAACATTCTAAGGTTATTCTATGTTTGAGAATACATGAACTACACTGCTTTGTTATTATACAAAAGAACAGCTCGCTAATTTAAGTAAATATCATTTTTTTAAATATTTAAAAACAAATGATATTTCACCTAAATTTAGCTGCTAGTAAATCCAGGATCCAGTCAAATGCAATAAAATTACATTTTTCATAATTATTTCATATAATACAGTACAGAAATTAAAATCCACTTTTCGAGTTAAACCATGGAATTTTCTAACAGTGAAAAATTCACAGCAACCTTCTCGTAGTTATGTTATCATGATTGTCATTATCATAAATTGTGAATATTCCTAGTGCCCAAACTGAAAAGTAAATAACACTTTTACTACGAAGGATACATGGATACAGCTACAAATCTAAATACAAACTAGGGTAATTACCCGGTATGTAATATGACCCCCAGGAGGTCACTCATCCTGGTACTTTTGGTTAGCAATAAACTAGAACACTACATTCAAAATAAATTCTTCAATGTATAAAAGAATCAATTTGATAAGAAAGTCAAATGCGAGAAAGTACCAGGATGTGTGACCTTAATTAGGTCGTAAAATAACTTATCATGAACATATCTAATCAAGTGCTGGTTATTTCTCTATATATCCTGTACGTCTAATTAACAAGGGACAGACCAATGAAATAAGGGACATTACAAAATCATTCTTGGACGGGGTTGGGTAAATAAATTTAATGGACAAATGTTATATCATATGCAGTAGTAAACATTGCTACAATGCTGTAAATGTACCGGTAGGTAGGAAGGAGAAATCATTGACAATAGAGTAGATATGTGTTTGTAAGCTACTACCTGATTGGACAATGAAATAAACATGAAGAACTTAAAAATGATATGATTGGTTCCTTAAGTCTTGTAAAGAATTTCATTTTGAAATGTATGTTTCTATGATTAGAAGTAATTCTTTGTTATGATAAGAAAACATGGCTTGACATAATTAGGTTTTAGTTTGCATAAAAACTGTTAAACAAATTGGCGATCACAATCTCATCAGTGATTGGATAAAATATCCACAATTGAATACATTGTATCAAAATCATAGTAAATGCAATTCAGGGTAGCACTGTATATACAGTGAATAGAACAATGGATTCATGTTACAGGGACTGAGGAGAGCTTGGTAAATTCAAATACAGGGTGCATGCATCAATGGGCCTTAAACACAAATGGTTGCTGTGGTTACGTCAAGGTTTTGTTGAGAGCAAAAGAACAGTTTTTTCCCCCTAAATAGTGTTTCATCATAACATCTGTAAAGTCTGTATTAGAAGCAGAGACCACTCAATTGGCACAATGCAAGCGAAAGAATGTGTCTTTTATTGGAGTATCTACACATATGAGAAATGGTGAATTTTTAGTTTTCAATTATCCTACAAAAAGTGGCTGTGGCTTCTAATTGTGGTATTTGAAACATTGGCTGTAATGACGAGAAAAAATGGGACAACATTTGAGGGGGAAAAAAAGTCATGTTTCTCTCAAGATCTACGGAATCTTGGTGATCTTTTGTGTTGAAGGTTTACTCCCCAGAATGCACAAACATGAATAAGGATTTCATCAGAATGGCTAGTGATATATTGTTGTAATACATGTATCA